CCCCCCATCTGTTAAATATTAAACAGACACGGAACGGAGTTTTTTTAACTTCGCACAAAAGGTTTTAATTAGGGATTGGCCCCCAAACCTGCCCTCCAGATCCAAGGCGCCTCCTGCCCTCCTCCCCGAGGCTGGACGGGGCGGGGGGGGCTCCGGCGTTCCCCCGGGGGTGGCTGTGCCCCCCATCCCCAACCTCGGCATCGCCCACCTCGGCCCAGCAGCTCCAGTTCCCTCTTACTGGAGCCCAGCAAAGGCGGCCCGGCTCGGTGAGCGGGCAGGGAGCTCGCCCCGGGGTGGGGGGCAACGCCGGAGCAAGGCGAGCTTTTGCAGTCAAGCTCTGCTTCGTTGTCATCATTATCGTCATTATTAATTCCTAGATTGCAAGTCCTTCTCGAGGCCCCACATGGATTCTCTCTGCCATATCCCTGAGCAAAGACTTTGGCATCAACCCCCAAGTAAGCGGGAGACCCCGTGTAGCGGTCCCCCCCCTCCTCGAGCCCCTGGGCAGGGACCGTCGCGGGCACCGCCACCGCCGAGCCCCGTGCCTCGCTGCACCCAGGCATGCAGCTGGGCTCAGCGCCCCGCCCTCCCCCTCCATCCCCCTTTTTTCCCTGAAAAAGCTTTGGACAATGAGCCTGCTTGCCCTGGCCAGCGGGGTGTGCTGCATGCGGGGGCCGGCACGGGGATGGCGGCCGGGCAGCGCCGGGCACGTGGCAACGCCAGAGGGCAAAAAGAAACGGCACCTTCCATTTGTGGAACATTGCTTATGGCATCTCCTGGGAAATACAACAGCAAAGTTGTTCATCACAGAATCATAGAATCGTCTAGGTTGGAAGATCATCCAGTCCAACCACTAACCTAACACTACCAAAACCACCACTAAACCATGTCCCCAGACACGTCCCATGTCATTGGCCCAGCCCTCCTCCCCTTGCCCTCACCCCACAGGGGCACACGAGCTGCCCGTGCCCACCAGCAAAAACACCCACCGCCCCAAGAAACGGAGCCGAGAGGGACACTGCTCCCACCGCTGAGGGTGGTCCCCACCAGCCTCACCCCGCTCCCTCCCGCCCTGCCAACCCCCTGCGTCTCCGCAGCGAGGGGGGGACCCCGTGGTGGAACTCCAAGGGAACGATGGGGCGCACAGGACCCCAGCACACTGGGGAAACCCCAACTCTGCTCCCAGGGGCTTAACCCGATCCGAAACTGGAGGACAGAGCCCAGCGTCGTGGCCGTGAACCCGCGCAGCTCCCTTCCCACCCGAGCTGCCTCCTCTTTATGCGCCGTTGAAAAAGCAACCGGTTTGCGACATTGCTAAACACGGTGCTCAGCTTCGCCCCGCGCTGAGGAGCTCCCCGTTTCTTCCTCTCATCTGGGCCCTGCTCAAACCACCGGCTCTGCCAAGGTGACGAGCAAAACACTGACAAAGCCGTGCGTAGCGGTGGCCCTGGACGTGGCAGCCTTTGAAGCTGCAATTTCAATCAGCTCCGGGATGGCTGAATCCATCGGAGAGCCCCGCACCGCAGCGGGGAGCTAACCGTGCGTATTCGTAGGTGCCTGGGCCAGACAACCTGTGCTAATAATACTATATAACGTGTGGGTGAATTAGTTGTTGCTGCCTCATTACACACTTTTCAGACCTGGGAATGGCTACCATTGGGCACGGAAAGCAAACTTTATGCCAAACCCATGAGCCGAGCAGTAAAAGCCATTTCTAGGCACAAGAAGCAGTTACGAATTATTAGAATTACTATTGTTTGTGCTGCTGATGATGCCAAGTATCGACATGCAGCTATGCCAGATGCTACTGAGCCGTACAAAAGGATCCTTTCCTGGGAGAAGGAACAGCCTCTATCCACCAGGCCCCTTGCGATGGTGGTGCTGAGAACACCTCCAGCCAGGACCTCCAACCACCAGGAGCTGATTGATCACCGCCTGGTACCTGTATCTTGAACTTGCTTTGAAACGATGTTGGCATAAAAAGCTCTCTGAGTCCCATTTGCTACCATAGCGCAGAAAATTAAGCCATTACAATGGAGGCAGAAAGCCTTGGACTTTTCCACTTTGGAAGAAAATCTCATTAAGTATCATTCATTATATTTCATAAAAACATCATTAAACCAACTCATTTTCTCCAGGTCCCGTTGTGCAATGACACTGCCCTGCACCGATGCCCTGGGAGCGCACCAAGCGTCGAGTCCCGCAGCCAGGTACTTAATGTACCGCCTTCTTCGGGATCGCACGTGCGTAAGAGCAGCCCACCCAAAGACCTGTCTAACCCACCATCCTCTTTATGACAGTCACCAAAAAGGGATGCTTTGGGAAAAAAGAAACGAGAGGAGGGCAAGCCCCTGGGGACGTGGCTTTGTGTGGAAGTGCCCGTGGAGCAGTTTGTCCTCCCCAAAGCTGCGGTGGCCCCGTTCGTTTTCTGCGTGTCCAGTCGGGGAGTCTATTTTCTCCTCCTGCCGACAGGGAAGAGTCACGTAGTGCCTGAGATTTGAAAGCGATCCGATGAACTAGGCAGGCGGTGGCAGGTACAAGAAGGTCTTCCAGAGTTTTCTTCATCTTTATCAGTTTCTGGAAGTCCTTGTTCGCAGATCTACAGGGAATCTCTGTGTTCAGGTAGCAGCTGCACTCATCAAGAAAGCCGAGTATCTTTGAATTTCCTTCTGATTTTCCAGTCTAAACTTGAATCTGAATTCCCAGGCTGAACAGAAGGAAAATTAACTATTTATGTTTTATTTGTTGGGCCTTCTGTGTTTTAGATAAAAATTCAGTAAACGGGTGAGAAAATGACTGCAAAAAGCTGTATAAAGTAGCGTCCCCCAGTCAGGCTCATGCCCTCATGGTGCCGCTGCAAAGGCCACACGCGTCCCCTCCTCCCTGGCCGCTGCTGTAGAGCGCGTCCACAGGCAGCGCAGAGAAGCTTGAAGTCAGATTATGCCACCAAAAAGGAATAATTTAGATGCAAGAGTCAATTCACAGTGAAGCTATATAATAAAGAGAATTTTTCTTTTTTTTTGGGGGGGGGGGAT